CCCAAGGTCCATGTTGGCGATTAGATATACCACATGAGGATTTTCCTGCTGCTAATAACCTCTGGTGAATATGAGACCAGTGAGCTTCAATTGCATCCAGTGTGTGTTTATCCAACTCTTGCAATCCACCGCGAGAAGTGGAACAACACTGGACTTGTATACGGAAAGCGCTGACCATTTCCGGACAGTCATACTGCGGTCTAACTCGACGCCCTTTGAAGTCTTGGATCTCTGCTCGTTCTCTGGAGCTCTTCGAACGCCGCAAAGATATCTCCGCGGAATCAGATTGCAACGAGCGGCGCCGTTCTACCAACCGGCTGCTTAAGCAAAGCCTCCGCAAGGATCGCGAGACATGGTGGTCTGAGCGTGCTTTAGAAATGGAGACTGCTGCCCTCTCTGGTAACACTCGCAGGCTTTTCCAACTCATTCGGTCCACTGGCCTCAGGAAGCCTGGTATCAGTGAGGTCATTTGTGAGGTGGATGAGTCTCCGATCACCAACCAACAGAGGCGTATGGACCGCTGGGCCGAGCACTTTCACTCGCAGTTCAACTGGCCTCCACCATCCATCAGTACATGCAGTACACCCTGCGGTCCACCTTGGCTAGTCCCATTGAATCCACCCAGCGAAGCGGAAGTCTGCCTCGAGATTCGACGCTTGAAGCGCTTCAAGGCTGCCGTCTTAGACGGACTTCCTCCGGAGCTATTCAAGTATGGCGGTGTGGCAGTCATTAACCAGCTAACCGCGCTGTTCGCAAAAATTTGGCATGAAGAGAGAGTGCCTCCCTCTTGGGACGAATCAGTTATTGTCCCAATTTTCAAGAAAGGCGCTCGCACTTCATGTGCAAATCATCGCGGGATTAGTCTTATTTCGGTTGACTCTAAGCTATTGGCATCCATTCTGCTTCGCAGGCTATCCCCAGTACGTGAATCGTACTACCGTGAAGAACAAGCTGGTTTCCGTCCTGGCCGCGGATGCGTGGATCAAATCTTCACGCTCCGCCAACTCCTTGAACATCGCCACATTTATCACAGACCCACTATCGTTGCATTCCTAGACATACGTGCCGCTTTTGACTCCGTTGATCGACCTGCTTTATGGCGTTGCTTACTAAAGAATGGGGTGCCAGAGAAATATATCGCCATCTTACGAGCACTTTACCTTCACACATCCGGCAGAGTGAGGGTCTATGGCAAGTTTTCCTCGCAATTCACTGTCAATAGCGGTGTGCGACAGGGCTGCCCTATGTCCCCATTTCTCTTCAACTTCGCGATCGAAGACGTTCTGTCGAATGCCCTAGAAGGTTTCCAACATTTTGGCCTAGAGCTTCTACCGGGTGAGCGCGCGACCGACTTAGATTATGCTGATGATATCGCCTTACTTGGTGACGATCCTCAGGGTATGCAACTCATTCTGGATCGTTTGGCGGTTGAAGCATCTAAGTATGGCATGAGCTTCGCCCCATCGAAGTGTAAAGTACTGCTCAAGGATTGGCTTTCACCTGCACCCGTGCTCACTCTCCAAGGTGCACAACTTGAACAGGTAGATAGTTTCGTCTACCTTGGGAGCTGTGTTTCCGCTGACGGCACAATCAACAAAGAAGTTTCGCTTCGTATCGCTAAAGCTCGATCAGCATTTGTCAATCTGAGGCACCTCTGGCCTCGTCGCGACGTCTCATTCTCACTAAAGGGCCGAGTTTACAGCGCGTCCGTTCGCTCAGTATTGTTGTACGGGAGCGAGTGCTGGCTGATTCGCGTGGAAGACATGCGTCGTCTTTCTGCGTTCGATAACGGTTGCTTAAGGAGGATCGCTCGTGTTCGGTGGCAACATCGAGTTACCAGTAATGACGTTCGACGTCGCGTCTTGGGGAATGCAAGTATTTCCTTCAACAAACTGGTTTTGTTGCGCCAGTTAAGATGGCTCGGTCATGTCCTACGCATGGCACCTGAGCGTCTACCGCGTCGCGCTCTATTCGCTCGTCAAGGACCTGGCTGGAAGCGACCGCGTGGTGGTCAGCCTTCCACTTGGCGGCAGCACATGAAATCGCTGACGTCGTGTCTAGCCGCTGTTGGATCCATACGTTTTCCTGGATGGGGACCCAAAGATGGGGAGTGCCAATGGCTTAGGACACTTGAAGACATGGCCCGCAACCGGAATCAATGGAAGAATTGTGTACAGTGTTGTGTTGATTCACATGTTTAATTCTACAAAAATTGAAAATGACAAAAAAGAGAAAAACCGGCGTGTGACAAACAAACTAAAAATGTTTTGTTATGTATTTTTGTCAAAATATTCCATTTTCTTGCGGCATATTAGCTGAAGTGTGTTGCCCACTTTCAGCTAGCATGCCATGACGATTATGACGCAATGACTGTCTCTTATACACTGATTTCCATGGTTTTCTTGACTCTATGCCTAGTTACTAGACTGTTGAGATTACAGACATCCAACTCGCATGACAGCGTACTTTGATACGCATTCAGAACAGCTGGCTTCGCCAGTTGGCCGGTGTCAATGCGCTCACAACGTCGTCTTGGGCGTCCGCCAAAGTGCATCCGCAGGTCAGCACACACAAGTGCATGGTCGGTGTCCACACCTGTGCTCCAAATCGAGTGACAGTTCTGGACGCAGCCTCTCCATCGGTAACTGATAGCAATGTGATCAATTTGTGTCCATAGCTGGTGGGCACCAAGTCAACCTCCGGCGGGTGATGTGTCGGAAATTAGTGCTCGCAAGAAATAAGCAAGCATCCTCACACAAATGAAGTAACCGCTCACCGTTATCATTACGGGAGCCTACAACATGTTGGCCGCCCAGATGCAGCTCATCTGTGGATAATTTTCCAACTTGAACGTTCAGATTCTCAGCCAGCACAACAGTGTCCGTGCTTCTTCTGTGGCGAAGAACCTCGATCAATTGGCGATAGAAGTCATCTTTTACCGAATCATCGCTAGAGTTTGTGGGTGCATAGACAGTGATGACGAGTAGACACCTGTTAGTCCCACGCAACTTCGAAGTTTTGAACGAGCCAGTCAATCGGACCGTACACATCCGGCTACTGATTGGAATCCAATCAACCAGAGTAGCTTCAGCCCGGGGACTCAGAGCAATACCAACACCGGCTTGGCCGGTGCTCGAAGCTGCATCGTCACCGGATATCATCATCATTATCATCATTATACACATCAGCTAGAGGTGGGAAAACACCTCCGCTATTGTGCCGCAACACCTCCGCTATTGTGCCGCACGTCACCGGATAGGCGCAATGAGAAAGTGCTGCTAGTGTCACCTGAAGGGGATCGCAGAGTGAGTACAGAGCTGGAGTCTTACAGGCGGGTCTCCGATAAGCAGCAGATATCGATCGAGAGGGTCTCCAATGTTCGGACAAGTGCTGCCTGTTGACCGACCTGAAGCAATGTGCGATCATTGAGGCATGCCAATCTGAAGGAGGATCGAGGGCTCCAAATGGAAGCCGATGAACTGGAATGGGCCGCTTGCTTGGACATGGGCTTGTTGACAGTGCAGGAATGACGCTCCGCGTTCATCTGTGATTTGAAACTAAAAGACGCGACTATTGAAGCAAGGTGGGGGAGGGCCGAGAATTGGGGGTTGCAAACAGGGGGATATAAGTAAAGTTGGAACGGGAGGATAAAGGTGAAAAGCGCAAGAAGGGGAATAAGAAGACGGGAAGGCATGAGCAGTAGCATCCAAACCCCTATCCACCTTGCCCGATGCAGCAGATAGGGCACCGTTGATTATCCTCTGCAGTGGCCAGAGCATCAAGAAATTGTTTGAGGAAAGATTCATTGTATTGCTTGGGCAGGATACTGTCAGGTTGCCCAGGCCTAGACAGGAGAACGATTAGGGTTCTCAAACAAAGCCTTTGGTTCAAAAACCTGACCGCAAGACAGCGGGTTTGGCTTTGGGCTACAAGGAGTCCGTTTTAAAGAATAAGGTGCCACCCTCATTCCAACCCGCAACCTGGAGGACCAGGAGGCTGAGTTTGTCTGGCCTCTAACCATTGACCAATCTGGTAAGAGTGGCTCTGAAGGTGCAAAAGCACCACCCAGTATAGCTCAACGGATCACTGAGGCACACAAACCATCGCGCCACGGTAAGGTCAAGCCTCATTGCGATGGACCCAAACCCAGAACAAGTAGGGAAAACATAACTAACGTGTGTCAAAATTTCTAGAGAATTATTTCCGTATGGTTATGTGTCAGTTGCTGACTGTAATCGAACACCACAGGGTTTCGGTGAGAATGTGCTTTAGAGCAGCGACTAAAATGTACTCGCTTAGGCGAATCGTTTTTGCTCCTCAGGTATTAGCGTCTGCACAGGGGATGAAGGGTTCCGCATGACACAAACCGGTCCTTACGTTCACATCTCAGTTGCCGAATCTCTGATATTAGCAGGTGGAAGTTGTTATTTCGCTCCATCTCATTTCTACGTAGGTACATGATGCATTACGCAGTAAGTACAGCGCCGACTAGCGTGCATGCAGCAGTCAGATTCAACTACAACGACAACTACCCTTCTTCCTTGCGGACTGTCACTTCCAGTTTACGTGTTTGCACCCTGTTCCACAGGACAGCAGGCTGTGATGCGATCATGAAGTAAGCGATTCGAGGTTAATGCAGTCCTGTATATTAAATAACGGAGTATTTGATACAAAAGATGCTTCCATGCGAACAGCACTTGGAAAGTTCATAACTCCGGAAGCCTCATTGAGGGCAGTCATTGCGCCGCAAAATATGCGGCCAACTACTAGGCAAATAGTCGAAACAAATTACCTTAGGGAATCTCAAACTGTCAGTCTACAGATATGAATTGCCCTGTACTAACTACTTCGTGCGCCTATCTTGCTGAGTCGATGACTGAGGCGATTAGAAGCAAGTGCCATCCACGTAATGGTTGGGATTTGTGTTAATGCCAACACCTTGGGACTCATCACGCGTCACCCCATTTCCGTACATACACCTCAACTTTCACTCCTTCCAGTAACACTACTTCCTAACTCGTTGGACACGTGAACTGGATGTTTCATGGCGCGTCATAACTTTCCTTCCCCGTCGTCAAGTGGCCCTCGCTCCATGTGCGGACTAACACTTGATACCTCGATCGTCAAACCAAGGCAGCGTTCCAGTTCACATCGCTCACTGCACCAGAGTGCAGCAAGTATTGTGGTAGCGGTACCTGGTGAGTAAATTAGCTTTCAGAGTGCGAACTGTTCAATGCAGCCTACATGCGCGATATATGTTACAATTCGTGATGCACTAGAAATGGTAGGTTGCCCCACCACTACTGCTGATCCCCTTATCTGGCCGACCACCACGATGCCAGTATGGCCCATCCATCTCAGCACAATCAGTTGCACTCTTACCCGAAAGGTTTCGGATGGCATCTCCAACAAGTCATGTCTGTATGTCATACTTTGTGTATACGAAACAAGTTACTATATTTTTCTGGATATTTGCATAACACGCAAAGTTATAAAGGATTGTTAAGTGGTCACTCCGCCCCGAATGCCTGAGGGCTTCAGGTGCCTCCAGCTTTTTAATTATTGTCATTTATGGATAACTTAATGTATCAGGTAGCACGAACTTTATCGCAACGCTTTGGTACACAAGCAAGTACTGGGCGGTGGTACTTGGTTGTCTAGTTCAACAAGTCAAGCTGCTTAGGTGACGTTTACCGAAGCGGGTTTTGTTTCATCTTCTCGATGTTGTGTTTAACAAAACCTAGTATGAGGAATCGTCTAGTAGACAATAGTATCAGCGATTATTAGTCATTTGTTTAGACACCGTTAGTTAAACTGACCCTCCAAACCGAGGTCAAAGCAGACCACTGTGTACTTAGCTCGAATCATTCAGGGTTTCTAGCAAAGCTTTCACCGGTGATATATTGCGTCTTTTATTTAGCGTCGGATTACCCTTGGGATACATCTGATTATAGTACTGTGCAGTAAGATCCACAAGAAACCCGTCTCACAGATACAACTCTGTCTTCACATGATAGCTAGTTGTCTGCGACTAAACTGTTGACCAGCTGTAGGCACTTTGATCCTGTCGTCATTACAAGACTGGACCTTAACATCGTTCGATGGTTTGCATACTTTTTCGACCCACTGAGCTGTACTGGGCAGTAGTCCCAGGCCCCTTGAGAGCTACTCCTATCAAGTTGCCCAATGGTTAAAGGTCAGACTCACTTAGTCTTCTGGTCCTCCAGCTTGGGGGTATGGAATGGCATACCGTCAATTTCTGTACCCAAATCATAGCCACCTCCTCTCTACCTTGCGGACGGGTCTTCAAGCCAGAGCCTTTCGTTGAGGACCCTAATCGTCATATCTATGTCTGGGCACTCTGGCAGTGTCTCAGCCCACATACAACCACGGCTATTTCCTCAAACTTCGGCCACATCCTGCATCCACCGGTGGCCGAGTGGTCCGCACGTTTGCTTTACAACCATAAGGTCACCGGTTCGAATCCGCATAGGTGTGGGCGTCCTCGCGGTATACAGCCCGCACGCGACTGGTGGTGGTCGCGCGGCAGCGAAGCGCCGTTACGTCGTACATCTGACACACTACTACCCAATACTACACTACATCCTGCATCGGTCGTCGCGCAGCTTATCAAGGGTAGCCTTATTTGTTGCAGACAATAGGGCGGATAACCGAAAACATGCTACTGCTAGCGCCTTCCTTCTTTCTTTTCCACTTCTCTTCACGTCACTTTAGCTTCACGTCACCTCTTGTTGCGGGGGATTCATGTGTCTGCGTCTCGTTTTCACAGATTTATGTCACGGTCATTGCATCCATAACCTCCCACTATCGCCTTACCACCACAAGTCCAATTTCTAAGCGAAATATTCTGTTGGTACCGTCAAGAGAGCCCTCTTGAAATCTCATGCTTTTGAATCACGGACACCAATACCTAATTGTCGGCCGGTAGCCGAGTGGTCTGCACTCCTGGTTTACAACCATAAGGTCCCCGGTCCGAATCCGCGTTGGGGTGGACATCCTCGCGGTCCATCCAGCCCGCGCGCGACTGGTGGTGATCACGCGGCAGCGAAGCGCCATTACGGCGTACAGCTAACACATTATTATTATTATTCTTAATCCGGCATCTCATGTCAGTCTCCTCGACCAACCACAAAATTATCTTCCCAGCATGGAGCCATCAGTATGACCTGACGGTCTCGCCTTTAAATTTGTCTACGTTCTTTATCATCCAGATAGTTGCCACGCCGAGTAAATGCAACAGTGGTGACTGCGCGACACCCTGTCACACAGCGTCACTGTAGATGATGGCGTATGAGTCAGCTCTGTGTCGGGTCTAAAATTTGCTTCTTTATGCATTACTGATCTACCCGATTATACCTTGCAAACTGGCTCTCCAACCATAGGTTACGCATTCTGTACCTTGATCATTCAAGTACCACATGTTACTGACCATCCGATGAATTTTGTTACCTTTTTTACTCCTTACGCTTTGACACCTCACCTTTGGTTATCTGGTACTCCGGCATACAATGGGTCGCATAAACTTAAGCCCGATTCCATAGGTCAGCGCGCAAGTGGTTTGCAACCTCCGCTTAGTGACACGCTACTTAGGTGTGCACTTAACGCCTATTTATCTGCTTACATGTGCGACGTCGGTCATCTGTCCTTTGCTTGTTTTTTATTTGCTGTTTGAAGAAGCTTGTGAGCTTTTTGTTTCAGACGTCTATTAGCGTGCGTGGATTTCAAACCCACTCACTTACCCTCCTCGTTGATGGAGCCAGAATCCAAGCCTCTTGAACAGGAACAAGAGCTGGTTCAAGACCCTCCTGTTTCGGCCGATCGCAAAGATGAGGATGAGGAGGAGGAGGAGGAGGAAGAGGAAGACAGGATTGTGGAAAAGTCACCAAATAGTCGCTTTCACAAGCGCAATAAACGTTTTCCGAAACAAATTGTGGGTGTAGATAGTGCGTTTGTGGCTATCGAGCCCAAGTCAGGCAAAGAAGTGATCTGGAATGAGTGTATCCTCTCGGATAAAAAAGGCGAAAAGGAAGTATGTCTTATTTTCTGTCGATGTATGGTGTCCTAAAATTTTCATCAGAACAGGTATCTTTCCATCATAAAAAAGTTAAAGCGGAATTCACACCCGTTTCTGGCTCGGTTTCTTGACGCTTGGATCGCTAAACCTGATGATGGACCACGAAAATTGGCCTTCATCACCGAACGGCTTGACGAGTGCTCCTTGAAACAGTTTCTGTGCAATTCCCCGAAAAATAACCGGGTATGTTCTTTTACTTCTTTATACCCAATTATCCCAGTCTTGGAAACGGCATGTTGGCCAGTTACTCTCTGTGCTCATGTTTTTGCACCGTCTCGGCATTGCGCACGGTAATCTGACCAAAGAGACGATTTACTATCAAAATTCTGGGAACCTACGTGTTGGCCCTTGTAAGTTGTTTTATCTTCGTCCTCTAACTCCTCAACTAAGTTTCTTTGGGTGGATGTTTAGATCAAAAGTCTCAGTCATCTGACGTGTACGCCCTGGGAGTGGTGGCACTTGAGGTTGGTTTCTCGATTCTTAACAATGTTTTTGTTGCATTTTAGATTGCCGTCTGGACTCCCACGGAATTCCCTCAAAGCCTCTCACCTTCGGAATTGTGCCAAGAGATGCTTATTCGGCTAGAGAACGCCGATCAACGCAGCTTCATTGATACCTGTTTTGAATCGAATGCACCTGCAGGGAATCGCATCAAACGTCTCATCAATCACAACGCTGTAACGGAAGTTCCAGTTTTGAAATTGTTATCCGCCAAGGTCCTCGTTGATGCCAGTAAGTTCACTCCGGTCAGCCATCCGCGATCAACACGCTTCCACCTCACCTTACTGACTATTATACACACACCCATATGGTTGGCGGCATCCGGCTTCGGATTTGCCTGTCATATATATATATATATATATATATATATATATATATATATATATATATATATATATTGCAGTATATATGTATATACATATATAGATATATGTTGCATTTTATTCCCTTTTTATCTTCTAAGTATTGCGTCACACTAGCTGAGGTGTTCCCACCTCTAGCTAACGTGTATAGTGTGTGTGATTGTAGGTCATTTTAAGCTAGATAAATTTCATTCACTTTATTTGCTTTGTTCTGCCTACCTGACTAATCCTCTATTAACTGACCACGTTGCTTACGTTAATTGCGGTTGTCGTTAAGTTAATTGCGTTTGTAGCATTTTCGCGTAACTTCTGGACATTTTGTACTTATCGCAGATTTGTTGCTAACCAACTTACTTCATATGCTAATTTAGGGAAGAGTTATGTCTACATAGCCGTATTCTTAAGATGTTTTATTTGATAATGTCATTTCAAGTGGTTGACTGTTGTTTGACATCCCCGGTGTGGCTGCGCTTGATGTGCATGTTGACAAGGTGCCTACCTGTCCATTACCTACTGCCTCGCCCATATTGGCCCTAGGAGACAGTTAGTCGTTGCTGCTGGGGACGGTCCTTGTGGACGTGCTAGCCTCGAAGAGCGGTTCCATGCATTCACTGTGGAGCGGACTACGGTCCAGCCACCGCCTTGTGTGTACTTGATTCCCCAAAATACAGCGTGCTTGTGTTTTCCTGTGAAGGAGCGTCGGGCCGGCTCCGTTGATGAAACCTGGCTTCCATCCACATGCCTCCCGGTCTTATTCCATCGGGTTTACACTGGATATGGGGTTTGTGGTTGGAGCTATGAGTGGTGCAGCGCAAGCTACCCATGGTCCCACTGTAGGCGCAGGCGTCCTGTTGCTGGCCCCAGTGACTGGCTCGCTGAGGCCTGTGGTGTTAAGATCCTGACAGATCGTTGCCCCGCTGCTGCCACTCTTGTGCTGTTGTCTCGTCCTGTACGCCTCGTCGGGACTACCGCTGGGAGAAAGTTGGGTTGCACCTTTCTTCTTGCTTAGAACCAGAACACATAATTCCGCCACAAGTTTGTTCACTGGCTCTTGGCGCACGACCCACTGCCTTTCGGGAGTACATTTTATCAAGGGCTTTTGTTGAGGACCCGCATCGTTCTTTCATGTATGGACACCTGCGCAATATTCCAGTCCAAAACTGAACCATAAATCACATCTATACTACTAATAATACCATGCTGCATTTACCGTCGCGAATTAGCCTTAGAAAATGGGTCGCCTTACCTGCTGCATACAGCAGGGTGGATTAGCGCACACACTGCGGCTGATGCTTCCCTTCTTTCTCCTTCCCCTGCACATAATATGCGCCTCCCCATTTAACCTAATCTCCTACTTCCTCCAATACAGGTCAACACTCGTACGATTGTCCGCGCAAAGCACTCAACGTCGGGTGCTTTAACGTACGCACACTGCTCGACTGGAACACGAGTGAGCGCCCCGAGCGACGCACTGCACTAGTTGCGATGTAACTTGCGCGCTACGGGATCGACAATGCCGCACTCAGAGAAACTCGGTTCACCGACCAAGGGAAATGCATGTGGCTGGTGCTGGTTACACATGCTACTGGGTGAGAAACCCCACCACAGCATCACGTGAACATAGGATCCGATTTACACTATCCGACCGCTCAAATGGCTAGCTGGTGAGAGGGTCGACGACTATCAACCCACGATTGATGACTGTTCGTGTTCGCTTTGTAAGAGGTGAATTTGCGACCTTTATTGACACGTATGATTCCACCATGTGTTATTCTGCTGACATGAGGGATCAGTTTTACGCTGTTATCCTCCGTGATACGGTCTGCGCCGAGTACCATCGCAATCAGGCTGAACCTTACCGTGGCGCGATGGTTTATTTGCCTCGGCGATCCATTGAGCTATGCTGAGTGGTGCTTTTTTGCACCTTCAGGGTCACTCTTACCAGATTGGTCAATGGTTAGAGGCCAGATAAACTCAGCCTCCTGGTCCTCCAGGTTGGGGGTTGGAATGTGGTGGCTCCTTATTCCTTAAAACGGACTCCTTGTAGCTCAGCGCCAAACCCGCTGCCTTGCGGTAAGGTTTTTGAACCAAAGACTTTGGTTGAGAACCCTAATCGTTCTCCTGTCTAGGCCTGGGCAACCTGATACTATCCTGCCCACGCGATACAATGAATTTCTCTTCAAATAGTTTGATGCTCTGGCCACCGCAGAGGATAATCAATAGTGTACTAGCTGCTGCCTCGATCAGGGTGGAAAGGGGGTTTGGATGCTACTGCTCAAGCCTTTCCATCTTCTTATTACTCCTCTTACGCTTTTTCCCTCTTATCGTCCCGTTCCAACTTCACTTTTATTCCCCCTGTTTTCAACCCCCTAGTTCTTGGCCCTCTCCCATCTTGCTTTGCTAGGTTTTTACCTTCTAGTTTTAACTCACATGTGAACGCGGAGCGTCATTCCTGTCCTGTGGACAAGCCCATGTCCAACCAAGCGGCCTAGCTCAGTTCATCGACTTCTATTTGGAGCCCTCGATCCTCCTTCAGATTGGCATGCCTCAATGTACGCACATTGTTACAACTCAGTCAACAGGCAGCACTTGTCCGAACATTGGAGACCCTCTCGATCGATATCTGCTGCTTATCGGAGACCCGCCTGTAAGACTCCAGCTCTGTACTCACTCTGCGATCCCCTTCAGGTGACGCAAGCAATATTTTCTCATTGCGCCTATCCGGTGACGATGCAGCTTCGAGCACCGGCCAAGCCGGTGTTGGTATTGCTCTGAGTCCCCGGGCTGAAGCTACTCTGGTTGATTGGATTCCAATCAGTAGCCGGATGTGTGCGGTCCGATTGGCTGGCTCGTTCAAAACTTCGAAGTTGCGTGGGACTAACAGGTGTCTACTCGTCATCACTGTCTATGCACCCACAAACTCTAGCGATGATTCGGTAAAAGATGACTTCTATCGCCAATTGATCGAGGTTCTTCGCCACAGAAGAAGCACGGACACTGTTGTGCTGGCTGAGAATCTGAACGTTCAAGTTGGAAAATTATCCACAGATGAGCTGCATCTGGGCGGCCAACATGTTGTAGGCTCCCGTAATGATAACGGTGAGCGGTTACTTCATTTGTGTGAGGATGCTTGCTTATTTCTTGCGAGCACTAATTTCCGACACATCACCCGCCGGAGGTTGACTTGGTGCCCACCAGCTATGGACACAAATCGATCACATTGCGATCAGTTACCGATGGAGAGGCTGCGTCCAGAACTGTCACTCGATTTGGAGCACAGGTGTGGACACCGACCATGCACTTGTGTGTGCTGACCTGCGGATGCACTTTGGCGGACGCCCAAGACGACGCTGTGAGCGCATCGACACCGGCCAACTGTCGAAACCAGCTGTTCCGAATGCGTATCAAAGTACGCTGTCATGCGACTTGAGTAAGTGCTCACCGGATGCTCGTTTGCGGCAAGGCCTATCTGAGCGCTCGCCTTGATGAGTCATCTTTGCGATAGGCTTGACGCACAAACACTTCAGAACGCGCACACGAAGTGAGTTGTTCAACCGAACCAAGGTCAGGCGGTAGAGGCAGATGGAGGTCGTAACGCGCAGACTATCAGGTTTAGCGATCAGTCGACTCGCAGTTGAACACACAGCCACCCAATGCGGCAGCGTGTGTTGATCGACCTGCCTTAAGCGACGATGCAGGTGGAGCGCTGATAAGCCTTCCTAGAGCTGTTTAGTTGATGAGCGGCGCAAAAGGACTGTAACTTTGTTATGCTGCAACTTGCAGGCATAGTTCCAGCGTAGTTTGGGAGCCCTTAGCTTCTTCTTCTGAATGAGACCAAAATCTTTTCCGAAAAACCGGTTTGATGTAGTTACACAAGTAGGACTCGGCAAAGAATATGCCGAAAACTGGGAACTGGAGCAATAGTATAATCTACACAGGTTAGATCCAAGTGTTGGGAAGCACTAAGTAGAGCTCGTCGAACTTGTTCGAACGAGCGTACACACAATACTGTGTGAGGAGAATTAGAGTGGCCACAGAGGGCAAAGTGAGAGCCGAGTTAAAGTGCGGCCGCACGGCACGAACAGACCTTCATAAAAAAAATTACGACTGATTAGTGACCACTATTTCTGTGTCTTCAGAACGGTTTGTTGCAAGGAAGAATTGCTTTGTGTTTGGTCATCATCGTGGTGTAGGTCTGGTCGATGCTATCGCTAAACTGCTTACATGTGTCATACAGTAGCGTCTCTTTCCCCCTCGTCGTGGCAGACGAACCAGAGAGTGTACATTGGCCACATTTGAATTCTTCGTCGGATACTTGAGCGTCCTCCTAATGGGATTCTATCATTGTGGCATTCCTGCGTTTTAATGCCTCTTTCGGTTCCGTTGATCTCATCCGTTTAATGTTATGTCTATCTTTGAAGGATGCACCGGAGAAACCCCTCTCTATACCACAATCGATAGCCGCCTAAACGTCTCCAGAAACTGTGCAGTGTTTCATACACTAGACGGAGTCCTCCAGGGCTGCCTTGCCAGCCCTTAGCCTAAACGTCACTAGCTTGTCTCGGCGCGATGGCGCGTGTTCGAACCTGCGTACGGGCAGGGCGACCCTCGCAATATACTTAGCCCATCTGCTACCGGTGGTAGTTGCGCAACAGCGAAGCGTCGGTACTGCGCACCGGCGTACTGCTGATGCCTTCCTTCCTGCCTTATCCCTCTACTCTTCTCCAACTTTGTCAGCAATCATCATAATCACCATCATCATCATCACCACCATCGTCATCTGTGCGCGTTAGCTGAGGGTAAGAAACACACCTCAGCTGATGTGCCGCAATACAAAAAGGTTTTTGTGCTTTCTTTATATCCTTCGAGCTGGACCAGTCGTCGAAGTGACTAGGCGATGATGGCTCATAATTTTAGGGAGATCACCCTGAATATTGAGTTTACTTAGTACAGTCCAACCTGCTATAGCGACTACCTATCTGTGGTGACTACCTGTATGGCGACCAGCCAAAAACATTCCCAACCTTTTCTCCTATGAGTAATGTCCCTGTGCATGAACCTATCCATGGCGACCACCTGTCCAAGGCGACCACTTTTTGTCGGTCTCTTGATTGGTTGCCTTAGACAGGTTTGACTGTCATTTGACCCCGTTCACTGCTCACCACACCCTGGTCTGTTGCTTTGGAGTGCTTCCGCATACATTTTTGCTTCAAATACCAGTCATTTAGCACAAAGTTTACATTTGACCCCTATGTTGCCTTCATCCCACTTCATGTGTTCTTTTTATTTACTTTGTGATGGTACTCATCGTGGCGGCGTTGGATATGGAAATTTGACCCACTGTGTTCCCATTCCTCCATCGTTATTGATAACAACAGCGACACCTCACCAGTCGCATCTTATAGATCGCTAATATGTTTGGCACTGGTCTAGTGGAACACTTGACTGAAAATATTTCGCTCTCTTTATCACACAGGCTGTGAACCGAATCTGGGACGCCTTGGATTTCCCATCAGTAATGCTACAATTATGCCTCTGTGCTCAGCCCTGAGTGACTGCTGATTTCGCCTGTTTATGCAGTTTTTGGCCTTACGTTTTTGCTTTGGGCACTTTGTGACTCTAGGCTGCCCGCTGTAGCCACTCTGATTGATACTCCGCACTGGATGACTTAACATTCTTTGCACTATTTCTCCTTGTTCGGTGCTCGAGGCAAGCTACTCGATGCACTACAAGCAGTCACTGTTTCATTGGGAAAATTTTATTGGTATACTGCATTCGCTAGATTTCTGTAACTCGGTTGCTTTCCAGCGTGTTATTTAACCTGACTAATGTCACATTGGTTTTATCCTCAGTGCGGTCGGTGACGAGCGAAGATGGTGCAACCACCGAGCAGACCGGATTCGCCACCCTCCTTAAAGAATACCTTAGCCGTTACGAAGATGAAACAGTGATTGTCGAAGTGCATTTCGCACATGACAAAATCGTTAATTCCCGCTCTTGGAAGGATTTCCGGTCCAATTTCACACTTACTTCAAAATTTTTGGACGACGTAAAGTAAGACTTGTGAATTTATTACCACATTTGATTTCTGTGCTCTCCGAGTTCCTGGCCGCTACCAATGAACGTATGCAATTGCTTCCGTTTTCCATCCCGACTTTCTACATTTTGCGTTCCTAGTAACGTTATCCGTGCACTCGGATAGTAGTGCAGTTGGATTTGCCGAACCACCTCACATATAGCCTATCTCTGTAGTTTATTCACATAGTAACTAAAGACGTCACCGTTTCATTACTTCGGCGTCAATCTGCGAAACCTCACTGATAACTAGAGTTCGTGTGGGTATTTCCTTACCTCCCTTATTTGGTTTGTCACAATCTAGAAATTGTACCGTTTGCAGAAAAATTAAACGCTCTAATATGTCCTTTATCAATGCCACATGTCAATCAAGAAGCCCTCTTGGGGGTTGTGTTTATGGCACTGTTATCTACCAGCTGTTTCTTCCTTTGCACCGTTGACGCGATGTTCGCATTGATGGTGTGGAATTTAAGCATAAACATTCACTATACGTTACTGGACACCCGCTTGCTATTGATCCAAGTTAATCACTACATCCTTAGCTACACCAGGCATCAGCAGCACGCCGGTACGCAGTACCGACGCTTCGCTGCTGCGCAACCACCACCGGTTGCACGTGGGCTAAGCATACTGCGAGGATCGCCCGGTCCGCTTCGCAAGCTCGAACGCGCACCGTCAGATTACAAGACAAGCTCGTTACACTCAGACTACGGGCCGGCGCCCTTAGATACAAGCGCACTGCGTAAACCTACAGCTGTCAATCGATCTGGAGCTCATATTTACATTAAACATCTGTGATTCTCCCCGTGTTCAATCTTTTGTATTCCGGTTTATGTCCTTGATTGGTCATTAGCAACATTTAAAATCCAGTTGAACTTGAACTTCACCTAGCATTTACTGGGCGTGTGAGTTAGTCTAGTAACATTAGGCGCTACTGCTATCCTCACTACTTGATATGCTTGCTCAGAAGGTGGGTTCCCACTACATTCCTTACTTGAACTAAAGTGAATACGCTGATTCTAAGACAAGATAGATTTTAAGATGGCGCACAACAGCATGGCGTCACCTTACTGCGGTTCGGAGATTGTCCGTAACCGTGAATTTATGGCAACGTCTCGGAAAAGCAATGCAAGTGCCCTTTGAAGCAGTCATTTGTTGTTTCTTATTGGGTTTTGGAGTAGCCATCGTTTGTCTGGATTGCAACACGCAATCCCGATTGGGGCTAGTTTGCTTTGAAGCAAACCGATGCCATTTCGATCACTTGGATCGCGTCCGAAGTGGAGAGTTAGCGATATGCTGTCTCCCAATATTACACTCCACTACCGACCGGTTTCGTCCCGATTTTGACTCGTCAGGTGCAGCTAGCTTGAGCTGAGAGGGAGCCCAACACAGTGGTTGACGGTTTTCGTTTTGATCACCAGGCCAATCATTTGTTATGTTACTTCTCACGAAATACAACGCTGAAAAGGATACGATGGCCACAGTGATTTCCAGAGTCAAGGACAGTTGGATCCAGAATAGGTTTCCTTTAGTCAACTATTTTGAAGATAAGTTCAGTCTGCTCCATGTCGCCACCGTTTTCTATGTCGCATCTGAACCGGTCTTTGTGCATTACAATGGCTCACCTACTTCCCTTATCCGCTGAGTTTCTTATTTGTTATTTTTTCATCGATACTCGTACCAATGAGAGCAATGGTTGGGAATTGAAGAAATTCGACTCCAACATCTCCTTTATAGACTTGGGTAAGACTGATTTCACTTCCTCCTCAAAATTGAGTCTTTGCCGACAGTTACTTGTTAGAAGCTCAGCTCGACGGCCATGGATTATGAGCCCCACTACTTGTTCCTAACGGTATGGGACCACAACTCATGCTTATCTGTTCACTGCCTTTCGCGTTGTATCAAGCGGATCGGCGTCAAAAAGAGAAAATTCGCTAAAACTCACCTGTTACCGAACGCATGGTTGTCTCACGCTTATCACAAGATGCCGTCGAAAACAAGCAGCAATTGTCCGACTTCCTTCATTCTTGTGTACAGTCTGCTTCCAGCACTCTCAAAGGATGCTTTACAGTTAGCCCTAACTCTCTAATTTTTGTGGCTTAGGCTACGGGAGGAGACCCGCAAGCAAGTCTTCATTTGCCTCACTAACTTGTATGTCAAGCTCTTGGCCCATTTCTCGAGGCAGTCATTACGGAAGTATCATTTACGCACAAGCTCCCGTCTCTGACTCTCTTTTTTCTTGTTCTGTTTATCCCCCATTTTAAACTTTTCCTTTGGAAGTAAGCAACAAGCGACCACCATTCACTTTGCAACCAACGATAACAATGTCTCCAAATCTTCTTTCTGAGTGCAGTATCCGCTTCACCTTGTTTCAACGCTCATACTTGCTGCCGGTTCCATTATCGGACATTCCTGCCTTCCATTGTTTAATTTTTAAGAATCGATACCCTCTCTATCACGGAAACGCACACCATGTGGTACTAATACTGCAGTGATTCCTGGGATACCTGCATCAGATTCCCTACATGATGGTCATACCGCTGACGTCTCTGGCGATTCCGAGTAGATGACCCGAGGTGTCATCCTCGCTAAACATCATGAAGCTTATCTACTAGACTAACTCCAAACATTCGCGTTTCGAATTCTCATCTTCCTCAGAGTTGCTCGACTTCACACGAAATCGGCATACTCTTCTTTTTCACATATTGCCCCGCTGAATGCAGTTTGGCAGACATCACCGATGAATTCTATCGTCCATTTTCATACCTTGCTCGTCTAGCAAAGAACAGGCACACGCTAGTAGCTGTTAGTGGAATGAATACTCTAGTGTATGATTTGTCGGACCGCGGACGAAACATGGGAGACCATTTTGTAACCGCTATTCATCGTACTAATGTTAACGAACGATTTCTCACATGATGTGCCTAACACAGATTTGTAGCCGCAGCCGTAGCACCGGCTAACAAGCGTTCACTGTCATGATGACACGTACTGACTCAGCGATGTCCTATGTACAGATTGCCAACAGTTGCAGATATCGCACGTCAGTGCCATTGAGAGCATTCCTCTTCCTATCTAAACTCATTTGGTGCGGGCACTCACTTCTCCGGCTTCAGAACACACACAACCTCCGGTATCTGGCTTTATACCAATATTAGCGAACAAGTTCGTTTTCAGTGGTTCGTCATCAGGCTAATACACCACAAATGAATGACATAAACGTAAACATCAGATCAGGGTACAGGTTCAAAACCCAGATGGTCTGAGTGGCCAAGCTAGGTGATTGGCCCCACGGCGATCAACAGTGTGTTTGTGTGTATGTGTGACGTGGTCCACACTATGTGTCCCGTATCCTAAAATGCGTTGGTATTCCACCATCGCAGAGTCACAGAATTCCTTTAATTCTTCGACACGAACAGTGTAAATGTAACAGTAGTAAGATATTATCGCCACAACTGTTCCAACATCAATAGGACGACCGTCACCTGGCGTTTGCAGTGTGTTCTGGACAATGTGAGCCACGCAGCCAATTTCTTAAAGTGTTTCTCTAATAGAAGATTTCAATTTTGCAAATACATTGTTTTGCCCTCTTCTCTGAACGCCACCGAAATTTGTGTTGGTGTCGTCAGCACAAAATCCCACAATTTTCGGCTCATATTATTTTGTTCAAACACATTCTTTATAAATTGACAAATGGTGTCCGACGTGTCATCACTAAGTGACTGCAGATCTAATAACTTGACCTCAATACCCTATGACGGCAAAAAATAATCTCACAAGGAGTGCGAACACCGTTACTTCCTTGAGACTTGTGGCCTCTGTGAATATTCACACGAATTTTACTATCTTGTTTTCTTGCAGTTTCTTTGGCAAATAGGTACAGGATATTAGTTATTATTATCCTTATTATTATTATTATTATTATTATTATTATTATCAGTGCCGCACATTTTGTGCGCGGACAAGCAAACGTCCACTCAAACAATTTCTCTACCAATTTCTCTTGCAATTCCTGGAATGGAAACCGTGGTTATAAAATACTGCGTGATAAGAGAAAGCACCTTCTGCGGCTGCTACATTGGCTTCTGTGTTTCCAAACGTTGTTCATCGCAACTAATTATTTCAGGAGCGGAAGATGCTGCCGCAGACACCGCTGCCTTAGAACTATCCGATTTTAAGTGCTTCATGATATCTTATCTATCACCGTGAGCCATAGAAAATTCGGATTTGCATTTGTCACATCGAACATGCGACTCGTTGTCGCGTGTTACCTTCCTAAGGAATGGAAAATAGCTCTCCAATTGAGTAGTCATCTTACACGTTCGGTTAGACATGCTTTTCCTACCAAGCTAAACAAAATGCAGGCATTCTCCACTAAACTTCCAAAAATCTCATCATCGCTTTTCTTTTTCCCTCTTTGCATATTGTGGTAAAATGATTCCTTGCCGCGTTGTCCACCATCGCAGTCGATTATCCCACCACACTCATGCCAGCCCACTAATTTTGTCACAATTTAGCAAGAACGGCGCGGCAATGACGGACAAATTTTATTGGCGCCAGCACAAGTTATATCAACGCCCACGCAGACGTACAGTAATAAGTCACGTTTCCTTCCCACGACGCACCATCTCTCCGGGCTTCCGCTCTCGACACCTCCATGCACTTTGGGGGCCTCATGACGGGGTATTCCCCACCCATCACACCCCCGTATCTCCGCTTCTACGCGTCCCATGCTGACCGGCCCGGGTGTCCTTCGATAGGTCTTCATTTACGGGAACGTGGATGCAAAACAGTGCTTGGGGTTGGTCCGGGCTGTTACAATAACGGCGGTTTTGTATTATTTATTGCGTTCTCGAACAACACCCTCTCCGTTCTGCCTGGTTCAGGCTCACTACCGGACGTCGCTCGTGCCCCGTTCTCGTCTCGTTCCGTCAAGCCAGTGTTGCTCCGTCTGCTCTCCCTCACTGCGCCAGTTCCCG